TTAGTAACTATTATAATTATCATTGTCAAATTCACACAAATAAGTTTGACATCATTGAAACATTGAAATCAGTGACTAGATTGCACAGAAACACCCAACCACCCACTCACCCACCCACGCATCCATCCACCTACACTCATACATTTACTATGCCTACAAACACGTTTTCACACCTTTTTCTAGCACTGATAATCACTCGCTCACACACTCACACACACGCGCACGCAGAGTGTCAATTGATTTAACAATGGATCCTTACATGTCTCTCTCACTTTCTCTCTCTCTCTCTCTCTCCGTGGACTCAATAATTGTACTCAATTAAATCAGATTAATCCGGTTACTGTGATTAAGGATAGTAACTAATAACATGATATATATGTGACATGTTCTCTCTCTCTCTCTCACTGTAGGCGTCTCTCCTTCACCCACTATCTCAGGTGAAATCCGGTTATATTAAAGGAATTATTTGATTACGTAATATCAAAAAAAGCTTAAGCATGTTAATTAATATACATATAGAGAGAGATTTTCAGGTACATGAAAACAGCTTTACATATATTTATAATTTCAAAGAATAGTGCTTTCGATCAATTATCAGTTGGGTTGTACAGTTATGTCACCATAACAACTAAGGAATCATTGACATTGATTTTTCAAGAGGTCTCTATACGAATAGATTATTAACAGATTAGAGAGAGCCAATTATATTGTACATTATTATTATTATTTCTTTTAATTCCTAGAGGAACATAGGGCTTCAGCCACGTACGTCTCCATCAATTGTGTTCGGTTCTGTGATAGAGATTTCACCTGGCTCCAAGTCTGCCCACATGCTTTCATCTCCTTTTCACATGACCTCCTCCACTTCATGTTACCTCCACACTGACGACCAACTCACCGCTTCCCTTTCGGGCACCACTCGAGCGATGGTTTGTCTAGTGATGTCACTTGATGGTCTCCTCAGAGTATGGCCAGCCAATCCATCTCCATTTCTTCCTGCCTATTTGTTTCACAATCGCTTCCTGATGGGTTGGTTCGCTCATTGCCAGAGATCCCTCTCTGTTGCTCATCTCTTCTGGCCGGCCATCTGATCTTGAGTATTGAGAGAAGAGAGCCGTTAATGAAGGTCTGTAGTTTGTTTGATATGCTCTTTATGACGCGCCAAGTCTCTGATCCGTATAATAGCACTGAGTGACTTCACGTCGCTTCCCAGGTAGGTGAAGGGGACTGTTTCTTTCAGGTTCCTCCCATTTATGCTGGCCGATTGTTGTCTGTCGTTGTTGTTGCTGTTGGTCAGGAATCTTCATCACCTCTGTTTTCTCTATGTTCACCTGAAGTGTAGGCCTATCTTTGATGCTTCTTCTGCCAGCTTGTTGCTTTTCACTTGCATATCTTCCAGTTTATGGGAAATCAGACATATATCATCGGCGAAATCCAGATCCTCCAAGTCTTTTGTGTCAGTCCATTTTATGCCTGTTCTTTCGTTGGTTGCCGTTGTCTGTCGCATTATCCAATCGACTGCAATCAGGAAGATCATTGGCGATAGTAGACAGCCTTGCCTCACTTCCGTCCTCACTTCGAGGGCTTCCTTAATTTTCCCGTTGTGGATTACTTGGCATGCAGCATTGTCGTATAACTGTTGGATGAGATGTATAGTTGTCGATGGTACCCCGTAGTAGCGAAGTAGTTGCCAAATGACCTCTCGGTTGACGCCGTCCGTTGAAGGCCTTTTCAAAGTCAATGAAGTTGAGATAGAGAGGTGACTGCCATTGTAAGCTTTGCTCAATGATGATCCATAGCGTGGCGATTTGATCAATATATGACTTGTTTCTCCTGAATCCAGTTTGTTCCGGTCGAAGTTTTTCATCCAGGTTGGCGTGTTTGATTCTCTCCAGGATGATGCGGCTTAGTATTTTGCTTAGGATGAACAGGAGCATAATTCCGCGCCAGTTCTTGCATTGACTTCAGACTCCTTTCTTTAGTAGTTTGAATAAGTATCCTTTCTTCCAATCCTCGAGTACTTTACCCTGTTTCCACTCCTTCTCCAGTAATTGCGTCATCAAGTCCACGGTTGTCTCTGGATCCATTTCCAATGCTTCTGCTGGGATCCCATTATATTGTACAGTAATACACTCATTTCAACAGTTGGCTACCTTTAGGTATGAAGAAAAATCTTATATCTGTTCTCTGTGTCTCGGAATTCGGAAAATGTTGTTCTTTAGATATGGTCGACATGGAAGTAGAAAACCTTAGCACAACTCTCCTAATAATATAAATAATTTTTCCTTCACGTTCTCAGTGGAACATAGGGCTCCAAGCTAGTGGCTTGAAGTTTCTGTAGCAGTGTTTAATTTTTACAGGATGGGGTTTCTAGCCTCATTCCCAGCCTTTCCTCTTTACCAGCATTATTTCTGGCTCAGTGCGCCGGTCGGGGGTCGAACCGCGGACCATGTGGATGGTCGGCGAGCGTCCTAACCGCTATACCACCGACGCACACAACTCTCCTAGAAACATCATAAAACAAATGGTTCCCAGCCAAATCACACCGCCAAAGAAGACGGTGTTTAATGAGTTTGGCGTTCAAAGGTGATACTATTGTTGAAGTACTAATTAAAAGTCGTTTATATAAATGTATTAAACGCTCTTTTTATGCAGCTGACTTACATGTTTAGTATTTACCAGCTGAAATATGATTCGATAATGCGTTAAGGATAAACTACCGCTTGCGTCCACCTCTATGTGTAAAAACTCATTCACTCACTGGTGTAGAGCTGATTACATTGGACGTTGTAAGTTTAATCTCCGTAAATGAGTAGCTGGACACTACCCAGTTTGATTAATGAAAGGTGAACCATAGGACGATGAAGTCTTCAGTTTGTGAACACTTTCTGGAGTCAGGTCATTCAGCCCCCCCCACACACACACGGGATTTATCCTTTAAAGTTATTTACAGGACCGAATATGACCACTCGAAAAGCTTATATTCTCTCCATTCATGCATAACCGAAGCTCTAGCTATACATGGACAGAAACCGAAATCATGTATTGAGAAACGTTTTGTTTTGTTAAAGCCCTTCCTTTACCTTGGTCATAGTAATGTTCTTTTATTTTATTTTATTCTGTTCTACCACTTGAATTCGTCATTCCAGTTCACCTCATCTTCGCCTTCTTTACTGCTGTCATCATAGTACTGTTAATTTTTTAGACAACACCTGATCTACTACTTTTAGAATCTTTATATCAGTTCACTGATTTAATAATCTTTAAAAGTTTGACCACGGATTGATATCAACTAGAAAACCATTGAAAGCCATCACAGAGTACTGAACAGTCATATCGTCAGCCTAGTTCAGGACTCATTGACAGTGCGCATCCACCACAGGAGGTTCGAATCCAGGACCTTCCGGTTACACGGCTAGCGAGCTCGTATACCATTCAAACACTGGGACCCAACTCCTCAATGGCCACCCCATGAATTCTAACTTCTACAAATTCGTGATGCATTTAGCGCGACTAGTACCAACCAATATCATCGGTGGGATGGAGTTTCTTGGAGTTTTAGTGAGAATTCGTGACCAGTGAGGTGAATCCAGTCAAGTGTGTGAGGATGGATTTCCGACCGATGACACTGGCTGGTGCCAATCGCGCTAAATGCATCACTAAATGGTAGAAGTTAGAATTCATCGGTTGGCCATTGACGAATCGGGTCCCAGTGGTTGAATGGTATACGAGCCAGCAAGCTGGCCTTGTAACCGGAAGGTCCTGGCTTCGAACCCTCCTGTTATGTGTGCGCACTGCCAATAAGTCCCGAACTAGGCTGATGAAATAGCTGGTCAGTACTCCCTGTGGCAGGTTTTCCAATGCTTCTCTAACTGATATCAATCCCTGGTCGAACTCGTAAAAACAAATCTAATGCCTTAAAAATCAACTTTTGCGAATTATCACTTACAAATACTTTTCTAAACTGTAATCTATTGATCTAAATGATTTTACAATTTTCAAAAAAATAAACTACATGAATGTTGTCAGTATTGAATTATTCTTTCACTATTTATGGCAAGCAACTAAATTAAACTTCTTTCGGTGTCTAATTTGTCTTTCTCTCCTTCACACACACACACACACATAAACCCAAATACGCACATGCATTAATACTTAATACTTTTCATTCTTTCTCTCCCTATTGACAGACGGTTGGGGAAGGAAAACTCATTCAGGTTGATGATGATGAATGGACAAGTGAGAGAGATTTTATATATTTCAAATATTATTGTCCATTACCTCCCCCCTCCCTTCGTTTTAACCAATCGCAGTCATTTTGTATGCATGTCAATGACAGAGAAAAAAGGATTGCTGATAACACACAATTTAATGGTATGACTAATTAACCAATCCGATAGACTCTTTAGACAATGACTTCTTTATGGCTTCACATTTCAAGTGGTTGACATCATCAACCGACACTTTTACCCTAGTATTTATGTGGCTAATAAGATTTTGAATACAACACAATCAAGGCTACATAAATGGACTTACATACACACACACATACAATATGACTAGTAGAAGATAGTAAAAGTATGTGTTTGTGTGGACGAAATGACAGGATAGAGTTTGGATTGGCTGATTGAGTGAAATCAATATCACTATGTATTACTATCCGCCCACTCACACCACTTATTTCTTCTACCACTTAATTATAAAATTTATATTAATAGCAATAATGATAAATAACCTGTCATTATGATTGGTTAATTTTTAATAGGGATACTTAATTAGGGAGTGAAAAGTAATATTGCGCTTAAATGGAAAAAAAGGTAGTTAGTCCGTTAGTGATGAAAAAAAGGGTGGTGAGGGTAGTTGAAAGTGAGAGAACATTAATGACCGAATAAAAACTCTGGAACTGAAAAAGAATCCTTTAAAAATAACTACTCAACACAATACTTGCTAATTGATTTGATAAACGCATTTCTGAGCGAGAAATTAAAATAAGTTAAAAAATGGAAACATTTTCGATAGCTAGTTTAATTCATGAATCCATTTCAACGGAGAATATTCATCGAAATAATTCAGAAGAAGCTGAAGAAGAATGTGATGAATTAGACAAATTCATGGATTCATCATCTGTTATAGATACATTTTGTAGTCAGACATCATCACCATCACCAAGGTCATCAAGACATCAACACAGTGAGTTAACACAGCTTAACAGTCCAGATACTACAACACCACATAATAATAAGACAAGTGATTGTGATTATATTGATGAAACATTGATGAATTCTACTAATGGCTATTTAATCAATTCAACAAAAATCAATAATTTATCGCTGAATGAGACCAATATAAAATCTATGGAGGATATACTAGAAAGGAATCATGAATGTAAGTTGATTATTATGCTTGAAGTTTCATTCCTCTTGTTTTCATAATTTGTTTGAATTCTAAGCGGGACTCTAGGCTTCACACTTAGGCTTTAAAGTTTGAGTAGCCGTGGTGGCTTTTCTTTAAAGAGTGAGGTTAGCAGCCTCAATGAACTCTGAGACCACAGTTTAACTTGATTCCCCGCTCCCATGTGTTCATCTATACCTTGGTTAATTACTGTTACTATCTATTTGAAGTAAATTGGTGGATGGTAACTAGAAGTGGAATCCCCAAAGATGTGCATTTCGTCCTATCTTAAGTTTCGTCAGCTACTGACGACCATGCACATGGTCCGTGGTTCGAACCCCCGCCGACGCACACCTGATATCTATGGTTGGCCTGCAAAATTTGGGCTACCGATATCCATGCTGAAAATTCCATACTTGTACCAAAAATGCAGTGTGGAATCAAGCTGTAAATCAAAAATAAAACAAATATTCCCCAGTGAGTAGGTGATGGTGTCCCTTCCATTGAAGTTCGAACCTAGTACACATAGTTCCAAACGCCAAAGTGTTATCCACTAGACCACTTAGGGGAAAAAAGCCACGCGTATTTGTAATTATTTTATTCAATTTGGACATCCCCATTGACTGATTGGACGGAATGCACGTTGTCCTAGATTCCACTATCAGTTACTATTCGCCACTTTACTTCAAACTGAATAATCAGAAATCATCGAAGCATCTTTACAAAGAGGAGGAGTCAACATTATCAACCTGGGACCGAGTACTTTCATCCAGTCAGTCAACAAGTAGGTCCAAATTGTATTAAATTATTATTTATTGTTTGTACCCTAATGTTCCGAATGGAACAAAGAGGTTCTAGTGGTACATCTCATTCAACGGACTGCACGAATGTCCACAAGCCTTCATTTCCTCCTCACATGATCTCCTTCAGTGTCACCCTTGGACCCATATCCATCCTGTCACTTCTCATGTGGATTCCACTAGAAGGTCTTGCTAGGCATATGACGTCATTTGTGGTGTCACCATATTTGTTGGGCAATAGCTTGGTTCATTGCTTGCCAGAATTCCTTGTTACTGCGATTTATATGTATATAATATTTTAGAATAATCGTCATTAACAATATTGGCGTTTTTAAGTACTATTGATCTATTAAGATCAATGGAATCACAGTAACTCCAGTGAAGCCAGTTACATAGGCTGTACAAAAAGGCGTGATTCTCGTCGGATTTCCAAACATCACTCTGCATAGTGAATCGTTAAGTAAGGGACAAACAAAATTTATTCACATAGCACTATTCTATCTCATCTTGTGGATACACAGAACACAAGATTGATGTCAACGAAGCAGCTTTCAAAGTCATCTACCCCACACCAACCAACAAATCTCAGTTGCGCCTTAAAAGTTCGACTACTAAATATTGCTGAGGCTGACTGTTAGGATCCATATTAAGAAGCCTAATTTATGTGTCCAAAAGAAGTAGCTAGTTCAGACATTATCCTTACCCCTTGGCCATCAAGGTTCGAATGATCCTCAATTTTCGTAGAAATTTCCCTAATTTTATTTGATATTCTATTTGCTATTACATCTTTATTATTATTGTTATTTAAGCATCTTTAATGAACTGTGGTAATTCCATTGGGATCTTACTTAACAAATCGATATTATTTAAAAAGCACGCCAATTTTGTTATTGACTACTATTCTAGAATATTCTATGTATATAAACATATGTGTATATATATATAATTGTAGAGCCAGAAGAGGACGAAATTATCGAAAGGGGGATATTCTTTGCTAAATGTCTGAATGGATATTTCCACTATACGACATTATTTCCAAATTAAAACGAAGCAGCTTTTTAGTATTTCATGGTAATTTTAAATCATTTCGTGATCTAACTTTTTGACCAGTTCAAACTTTCATCCAATGAATTTTTTTACGGGTTTATCATGGATCGATATCAGTTAGAGAACCATTGAAAACCAGCCACAGGGAGTATTGGACAGCCAGCTGTTTCACCAGCCTAGTTTGGGAATCATCGGCAGTACGCATCCATCGAGATTCGAAGCCAGAACCTTCCAGTTACAAGGCGAGTTATCTCGTATACCATTCAGCCATTGGGACGCGAGCTTACCATTTAAGCGGAAGGTCCTTGGCTCGAACCACCTGTGGTGGATACATACTGACAATGATTCCCAAACTAGGCTGATGAAACAGCTGTCCAGTACTCCTTGTCGCTGGTTTTCAATGGTTCTCTAATTGATATCGATCCGTGATCAACTGGTAAAAACAAAAGTCATCCTTACAAACTAACTGTAGACAGTGACTTTTTATAATTATTAAAAAAAATTTTTTTTTATTTCAGTTCTGTTACAAAACTTTATGCAAACAAAAATTGCCAATTTAAGCCATACTGAGATGAAACAATATTCTACAGAATGTATTCTACCCTACTTAGCAACAAAATCACTTCCCAGTATAATATGGACAAATTCAAATTCACCGCATTTTATTTACAATGATGCATTTAAACAACAAAAAGATGTTAAATCGATCAAAGAAGATAATAATAATAATAATTGTACATTGAACAAGTGTAACTCTTATCAGTTGAACAACAATATTGATCAGAGAAATGTAATATCCAGTGAAATTAGCACTACTACTAATAAAAGTGATGGTGAAGATAAGAATGACGCTAAAGGTAACTATGGAAACAATGATTATTCAGAGAAATTACTCAATATATTCAAAGAATATGGATTATATTATTCTTTATTGAAGAATAAACAAGCAGCATTCATATCTAATTATTTTCAATCAGTAATTAACAACGATGGATTAAATACCGAGAATACTACTACTACCAATAATAATAATAATAGTAGTAGTATGAATTGTAATGACATCAAAAATTTAATAACAACACCACCGTTAACATCGTCATCGTCAACATCATCAGCAGTAACATCGATAACAGCAATGGGGATGTTATCTACACAATCAACTATTCGTCGTAAACGAACACGAGCTGCTTTTTCACATGCACAAGTTTATGAACTTGAAAAACGTTTTAATTATCAACGTTACTTATCAGCAACGGAAAGATCTGAATTGGCTAGATCATTAAGGCTGTCTGAAACACAGGTAGGTCTTACACTTTTCTCCATGTATAAATACATGTAAATATATGTCGATGTATATTGGGGGAGAGGGTGAGGGGTGAATATTTTGTTAAAGAGTATGGTATTATTTATTAAACTGACAATTCAGTGTGCATTTTGAGCACTGGTCACGAACTGACTTCAGTGTGAGAAGTACAGTACATCTGTTTCGTCCCATTTCAGGACACTTCGATAGTATGCGATCCAATAGAGGTAGAATCCAGGAGCTTCAGGTTAGAGGGAGAGCTCATAGACCATTCAGATACTGTGGTAATGAGTTTGGAATCATGACAAAGTATTGCTGAAACGCATCACTGCCTAAGTAGGACGAAACAGTTGGAGCTAGTAGTCTCTGGTGGTTCTCAGCGCTTTTCTAACTGATGTCTGTTCGTCGTCAAACTGGCAAGCCAACACTTGCACTCCCGGTACTACCTGGCAGGTTTTCCGATGGTTCTCTAACCAGTGTCTGCTCATGATGAAATGCTGTAACCAATCAATCAAATCCCTACAAACCAATACTTGAATATCAATGAGATGCTCACTGGCCAATGGCCTTATTCAGATAGATAGTTCTAGTAGGGGTTCTAGTGAGAAGTCGTGACCAGTAGGATGCAACAGGTCGGGTGTGAGGAAAAATACTCGCCATCGATGACATTCGCTAGTGGTCGTGCTATGTCATGAACTGGCAGAATTTGGAATTCATGGGCTGGCTATTGGATCGGGTCCCAGTGGCTTAATGGTCTAAAAACTCGTCTTGTAACCAGAAGGTCCTGGATTAGAACTGTGGCGCTGAGTATGTATTGCTGAAGGGTCTCAAACTAGGACGAAACGTCCGTCCAGTAATCCCAGGTTCTCCAGTGGTTCTCTAACTAATGTCAGCTCATGATGAAATCCTGTAACTTGGAATTTTGTTGTTGGTTTGTTCTTCGACGTTGCACAGCGTTAAGGACGCTCGCTGACCATGCACATGGTCCGGGGTTCGATCCCCGACTGACATACACCTAATATCAATGGTCGAAATCTCAGCACGAATACAAGGGGCTCGTTTCGCATTTGTTAGTTTACGCCGACTCTGGCGTAGACGAGATGTTCGACTATCGACCAAAGGGCGGGTGTACTGCTCATCAGTCCGCTCCGTCCTCCTTTATGGCTGTGAGTGAGACCTGGCCACTGAGAGTGGAAGACATGAAAAGACTAGCTGTCTTTGATCATAGGTGCCTGCGCTCTATTTCCCGTGTAAAGTGGCATAATAAGGTGAGCAACATGGAGGTTAGGCGTAGAGTTCTAGGTAAACAGGGGAAATCAATCGACGAAGTCGTGAAGCTACAAAGACTGAGATGGTTAGGACATGTGTTACGTATGCCAAGCCATCGCCTCCCTCGACCGAAGAGCAATGTTAGCGGATATAGGGTCAGGCTGGAAAAGTGAGAGCTAGCGGCGGTCAAACAAAAACTTGGCATCAGTCAATGAAATCCACAACAGTTGGTCTTAGCCACGTAGGAAGGTGTAGACTTCCAGGCTGGGGTCCTCGGGACGGTAAAAACAAATGGTTGGAAACAATTGGTGACATGGCTGAAAATCGTTCTCAGTGGCGCAGATGCATCCACTCCTTGTGACTTATGATCTCCAATGAAACTGTTTTGTTTTTCTTTATTACTCCTCCTTTGTCTCACACCTCTGCTCACTGTTTCTATTGTGCTTTTCTTGTACTTTCTTCTCTTGCTTCGCGTGCTACACGGAATGTGGCGACTTGAACTTCCGCACATTTGTGCAAAGTTCTATGTCGAAAACAGACAGAATATCAATAACAGCAGTTATTAGTCTTTCCTTGCCTTGGTAACTGGATGCTTTTTTTTTCTCTCATCTGATTACGTAATCTTTGTCTCTATTCTCACCCTCCCTTTCTATAATCTGTAATTTTGTTTGTCTCTTGTTTCTATGATTAGAGCTCAACTCAGTTCATTGTTACCTAACTTACTAGTCACTATGCATCTAACGCATATCTCATCTTTATTACGTAACTCTCTTACCATTTTCTGCATACATTTATTTTGTTTTAATCTGAACTGCCTGTGTGAAAACTATATAAGCGCAAACTTCTGAGCACTGTTTACAAATTGTGGAATTTTCTGTCAACTGACAACATGTAAAATTTGCAAGTATGTTGAAACATGCCTGTACTTAAACCTCATAATTTATTTAGGCTGTAAGCAGCTGATGAGAAGCCAACGAAATAAATGATGGTACCACATTATTCTGCTAAAACTGTAGTTCTTGCTTTGTTCAAATTCATTAAGGGGAATAAATGTATGAAATGGTTGGTCTGTTGAAAATTCTGTTATTACTTATTTTATTTTTACATAGGGCAGCTTCAAGCTACAGCTGTGAAGTTTCGGTAGCAGTGGCGTTTATTTCTACAAGATGGAATTGCTAGTCTCATGCCCTCCCCAACCTTCCCTCTTAACCAGTAGTATTACTGGCTTAGCAAAGTAAAGGAGTGCGTCAGTGGCCAGGGATCGAATCCTGGACCACATGAGACGTGGTTGGTGAGCATTCTACCACTATGCCACCGATGCACAGAAAATTCCCTATGGAAGTTGCACCAAAAATACGGTGTGGAATCAAGATATATATATATATATATTGAGGGAGAGAGAGAGAGGTAGCGAGACTGCCTGTAGTTTTTAGGGATTTTTTAATAAATTTAAATTCACTGTGCAATAGGTAGTTCAGTGTTTTAATTCTGGACATGTGCATAATATATAATTTTTGTCATCCATCCCTTTTACGTTTCAAGTGGGACATACAGTCTCGAGTGTTTTGTGATTTCATTAGCACTGGTATTGGTTTTTCTTCATATAAATGAAGTGAACAGCGTTCTATTCGCCATTCAATTTCACTTCACCATGTTTACAATTCACTAGCTACAGTAGTTCAGTGGTAAAAAGGCTCACCGAAACACGCCTCATGTGGTCCAGGGTTCGATTCCTAACCAACGTACTCCTATACCTCAGCGAAGAGGTAACACTGGATGTGAGGCTACCAAATTCACCGCAACTAGTGAATCTTCAAAGTCAAAGCTTGGAGATTTTTATGCTCCCCTCAGAATGCAAAGGAATGAACACGAGAACCTGGACTGTTCACATGATTGGCTAACACTGAATCCCCGATGTGTATAAAATTAGAAGTAAATTTGTTACTCAGGTTAATAATAATAATAATAATAATAATCTACTTTATTCCAAGACGAACAGTACTTATATAATACAGAATGGAATTCTCAGTATTTGTCACAACACCTTGCATCTGATTTACTTAATTTAATATAAATAAAATTAAAAATTAAAACAAAATTAACCAGGGGAATTTGTTCACGTTTACGATATAAAGTCAAAAATATTCGAAGCGCGAATTGAGAGTATTAAATAATGATAACAGTGAGTTTATTTCAAACAGTATTGTCGATTCAGTTTGGACATTTTAGCATGTTATAGATTATTCGATCTAATGTTCTGTTGATATAGCAGCATGGTGAGGGGAAATACAAAATTAACAGTTACATAACACAGCTTAAATGATGTTCACACTTATGAAAACATAAACAAGTAAAAACAAAAAATTGAGAGGATTATAAATATAAGAAATACAATAACAATAAAGTTTGGTACTGTAAGGGTGGAAGAAATGGTTTATTTAGTAGGGCAAAGAAGGTTAGTTAGTTGATTCATGCCTGACACTATTTCCATCACATAAATTATGTGCCGCCAAATTTGGTATAATGGAATTTTTATACTTCGGCGTACGTGCATAAAGTCTTCTGAAAAGACTTCTTGTTTTACCTAAGGAGGAGACACAAGGTTGGAGCTACGAGTGCTGTGGTGGATGTTCACAGTCTGACGAAATCCCTTTAGCAAATTTGTTGCATAACATCAAGTGCCTGTCATCAATGATGATGTCAACAATATGGCCCAATGGGATACCACCACTCTCCCTAATGACAGTCAGTCTTCAGGGTTTCTACGAAGTATGATATAGTCTTTTTTAAGCAATCCAGGAAAGAATAAGCAAGGGTGAACCGCTCAGTAACCTCGCCAGGTTTGGATTACAGAGATTTAATCATCAGGATTGGTGACATCTTCAGTAGTAACCTCATTAGTTCAGCATTTAATAACATTATAGAGGAATGACGAATAATTCCAAGACGGGCATAGAGTAGTGCATGAAACTTTGTTAGATGATTGGAAGCATTACATAGGAAGCCTTATCTGACCTAGGTTCTATGCTTGTTGGCACATGCTAGTCATCAGCAAGGTGTATCTGCATAATCTTGGCGAATCATTTAGCATGGTGACCAAATCGCAAAAAAACTGACTCATAGAATTCAGTCTGCACCAATCCAAAGACTGTGAACATATGACACTGGTTACATACTATAACTAGTGTCCAATCAAAGTCTAGTTGAAACTTTATTATCCGGTGCAGTAATCACTAATGTCATGACTACTGTGTTTTTGTGGGTGATAATTGATTTCTTGTAGAATTTTATCATTCTTCGGTTGCCTAGCAACAGTCCCTGTGAATAACATTGACTGGCAGTGCTTAAAATGGTCAATAGATTTTTACTTAGTAAATGCGAAAGTCTTGAGCTACGACGAAACGACTGTGCAGTAAGTAGTTATTGGCAGTTTTCAATGGTTCTCTAAATGATTTCAGTTAGTTTGTGGTCTAACTTGAAATGTTGTGTAATAGTTAATCCTTTATATGCTTTAATCTCAGCAAGTTGGAATCACTGGCTGTATGCTCTACATTTCTTCTTTTTCAAGCCTGAGGTCTGCTAGTAAACTATCATTAAATTTGCAGGTAATGGTTTTGTAGGGATTTTGTTTGATTGATCGGTTGGAGGATTTCATCATGAGCTATCATCTGTTAGAGAACCATTGAAAAACCTACCAGGGTGTACCGGACAGTTAACTGTTTCATCAG